ATGTCATTGACTCATAAGTCATAATATTAATACTAATGTAGTTAAAAACGTGTAATCCGTTTAATCCCGTGTACACGCCGTGTACACCGTCTAAACACTACACGTGCCCTCACCGACTGTTTACCGTTTAGCGTTTAGGCTAACACTGAATTATTTTGAACTGAAATTCCGGATCCCTGCTCGCGAATGTTTAAGGCGGCATGTGGAGACGAAGGGCGACCGTGACCTAGGGCGTCGATCTCCCTGCTCGCGATTTTCATCTCCACCAGACAGTATATATGCTGTATATATGTAGTATATTTATACCTTTTTTGTTGTTTGTGTAATTGCAGGTATATATATAGTGTATATTTTTCGTATATATACTGTTTATATTGTTTTTCATATGCACACTATTAGAGTGTGTATAGTTTGGTTTTTTCATATGAAAGATTTGAATTGAAAATTATAAGGATCGACATGATCCTAAGTATATATATTGTATATTTGTCGTATATATACTGCTTATATTATGTATATTTTCTGTATATGTTGTGTTATCCACCATCTCGTTGATCAAAAAATAGACGACGCTGCTCGTGATGTTTGTGATTGTATAGTTCATATTTTGTTTTTTTTTTTTAATTAATGAAAGAATACCGTCAGTTACGGGAATCTTATGATGGTAACTGTTTATTTTTTGTTTGACAGTAGTTATCCAAATAATTTTGTTAAACTAGGTATATTTGCAAATAAGTTTTTATTTTTGTATTTATGCAATTCTTTTAAATTCCTTACCGTATAAATGCAAATGCCCTTTTTTTTTGTATATGTTGTAAGAATATGTGGCCCCAAAGTATTGGACTCACAATTAATTATCTTATTGGGCTAGGTCTTTAATTAATGGTCAATCAAATTTAAGCCAGTAATCTGGATACTTGATGGACGTACCAGATCTAAAGTCACTCCTATTCTATATAAATTTAGTCATCTCTCCTCTTAATTAGAGTAATTAGTCCTCTCCCTCTTAAATAGGGTACGCAGTTATTTTCCCATCACTTTTCTGCTACGTTAAGGAATCAGTAACGATATCAATTATTCCAATCTCCTGTGATCAAGATCAAGATCACAAATTATGTATGTCTTACGCAACAAGTAAGTATTTTATGTACACCGAAATATTTAAGATTCTTATGTTTACATATATGTACAATACTTTTAAAAGATTAGTATTTATGCAAAATTTTGCAAATTGGTCTATGCAAAGAATTTAGGGTCTAATGTATCATCACTGCTTTGGCAAATCCAGTACAGTAGCCCGATTGATCGGTAATTAAAAGAATAAACATAAAAAATCCAATCTTTTCGCAGAGAGAGAGAGAGAGAGAGAGAGAGAGAGAGAGAGAGCGACAGGTTGCATATGGGAGGAGGAGATA